ACCGGTTCAGTCTCCTGCATGGGGTACTCCGATTGTTACGCCATTGAAATTGGATGGCAAGACTCCTAGAATATGTGGTGACTATAGACTAACATTGAACTCCCGTTTGTTGCAGCAAACATGCACGACGGTAGAGGCTGAAGATATTCTAAATCGACTTCATGGTTCTATAGTGTTCTCGAAAGTTGACCTAAAAGATGCTTATCTTCAAATCCCTTTAGATCAATCCTCATCTATTTTGACGACAATTAATACTCCTTTCGGTCTATTTAAATACAGTTTCATTCCATTTGGGCTAAGTTGTTCTCCAGCCATATTCCAGGTAGTTATGAATAAGGTGGTTAGTGATCTTGAAGGTGTTGAAGTTTATCAAGATGATCTGATTATTCATGGTGCTGATAAGGGAGCTCATGACCAGAGACTTAATTGGGAAGAATATCACAGCAAATCCAAATAAGTGTTCATTTAGTGTATCTAGTTTTGAATGTCTTGGATACCTAGTTGATGGTAATGGTTTTAGACCAGATATAAAACGACTAGCCTCCTAAAAATCTTACGGAGCTACGTTCACTAATGGGTGCTCTTCAATATTATTCCCGTTTTATTCCTAATTTTTCTTGTCGTGCAAATTGTTTATTTAATATTTTGACATCCAATTCATTCAAATGGGGTGAGGAACAAGAGTTATGTTTACGTAGTCTACTAAAGTTTCTTCAAAGTGATGCTGTTATTCGAACTTACTCCCCTAGTGTACAGTCTGTGCTTATCACTGATGCATCACCTGTGGCTATTGGCGCAGTTTTGGAACAGGAAGGAAGACCAGTTATTTGTGTTTCAAGCAAACTTACTGTTACTGAACAAGGCTATTCACAGACTCAGCGAGAGGCATTAGCTGTGTTTTGTGCTGTTAAAAGACTTCATAAATATTTATTCGGAAAGAAATTCACTATTGTTACTGATCATGAGGCTTTGCAGTTTATTTATCATCCTGAAAAATCCTTAGCACGTGCCTCAGCTGCTATGGTTCAACGACGGAGTATTACTTTGGGTGCTTACGACTATACGGTTCGGCACAGGAGTGTCAAACAAATTCAACATGTTGACTACATTTCTCGACAGTCATTACAAGATAAACCTGTTAATACTTCAGGCTGTTTGTTGGTGCAACCTTTATCAGTGAAACGTCCAGATCTCATTAGAGAAACTCGTAGAAACTTTGGATGTATAATTAATGCTATACGGAAAGGTTGGAATGCTAATCTGAAACACAGATTCCCCATCTATTTTTCAAAGCGGGATGAGCTATCCACTACTCCTGATGGTAATTTGTGTTTAAATGATCGTGTTGTTATTCCTCCTTCATTGCTTAAAGCTGTCCTGGAAGATCTTCATAGTCCACATTTAGGTGTTGAGAAAATTAAGTCCTTAGCGAGGCTCACGTGTTGTTGGCCAGAGATAAATGCAGATATTTGTCGTACAGCAAACAATTGCGAAAAGTGTCATAAACTGAAAAATCAGCATTCGAAGTGGACTCCATGGCCAGTATCGTCTGAGGCCTGGCAGAGAATTCATGCAGACTATTGTGGCCCGTTTCTTGGCAAATACCACGGGCTTGTAGTCATTGATTCTTTTTCAAAGTGGCCTGAAGTTTTTTTCACAACTTCACCAAATTCTGACTCCACAATTCAAGCATTAAGAAAGGTGTTTAGTCGAGAAGTGGTTCCAATGGTGTTAATGACTGATAACGGCTCTCATTTTGCTGCAGATGCAGTTACTACCTGGTTAAATGGTATAGGGTGCAAACATCTGTTTACTGCTCCCAGACATCATTGTTCCAATAGTCAGGCAGAAAATTTTGTCAGGACGTTGAAAACTGCTATTGATTCTATTGCCGCCTCAACATTTAATGAGCTGGAGAAAGGAGTAGATACCTTTCTACTGCAATATAGAAATGCTAGACATTCGGTGACGAAAGAGACTCCATCAAAGCTATTAAAAGGAAGAATTCTTCGGTCGAATATGAGATGTTCGGAGTCTGCAGAAGTTACATATTATCGTGGCAATGATCTTCGATCATCCACGGGCATTGTTCTGAAGAATGTGGGGAAATCTATGGTGCGACTTCTAGACATCAATGACTTAAGTACACACAATCGACATGTTGATCAAATACAATTCCAGGAACCAGGTGAGTCTGTTCCAATTTCGGTTGTTAATTCTAATACTAATGAGAGCATTCTAAATAATACAGAGTCTTTATACAATACACTATCGGACAGACACAGGATGAATTTTAGAAGAAGACGTACAATTGATTACAGACACTTGGATTCTAATTTAAGCTGTGTCGGACGTGGTATTTGAATAAACTAGTGACTTCTTGTTGTTGTTGAATGCTTGATTTCGAATTCTAAATACAGTACATTCGTTCGTGCTTATCCCGTAGTTCTTGATTCACATACTTCTAATCATCATAGTTTCATACTTTCGATATGTAGAGGCTGCGTTAGGTGGGGCTGGTCGGACTAAATTTGTCTGTAGTGCGGAAAGGTTGACAAACAGGATGTGATGCATGAAGGCTAAGTTGTCATCAATAGTCTTCTACACTGAACTGCACCAGTGGTAACGTGCTAGGTTGGCTGCTGAAGTTGACGTGCTACACCAGCGCTGTACGTTTACAGAGTCTGAAGATTGTCTTCGCACTAGGAGACGCCGCAGACGCAAGGCGGAACAATGTTGAGAGAAGGAGCCAGAAACCTATAGAGCAACCAAGTTCAAGACCACACGTGTGCAAGATACTTTCGGACCCAGGACATCGACTGAGTGCGTTGACAAGATAAACCGAGATTCAGCGCTAGACACATCAGACATACTAGCGTGATCCTCATGTCTCCTTATCACACGTTAGATATATCAAAGTCCACATTCTCATGTCCAGTCAACAGCACGCGTCATCTGCACCATCTATGAATGAGGCTGTGGTCTCACGTCCAGATAAGCACATAACGCCGCCGTTGACTTAGGATGAGACTGCAGCCTCAAGATGTACGCACGAGTCTACTGTCTCGCTTTCCGGCCGCCGCGTACGCCTACTTGTACGTTTTCGCAACTAACCGCCCGAACAACAATCGATTCGATTTAGGACTCATACTACATACATGCTACACATTTCACTTGTTTTTTATCTATCCTGACCTCGTGCCTATGACAATCGCGCTTTTGGTACCATCGACTTCAGTCAATCTTGGCGAAAACTGTCCTGATCACCCAGTGTCTTCTTAACGCACTCAGTCGATGATTTGTTTCCTAAAATATACCTGGCATACGTAAGCGGTAATAGAAGTTATGGGAATATCTAATTTCACAAAAAATGTGTCAAAATAATGATAGTTCCGATAAAACATCTTTAGTTTACCAATAGAAACCAAATACTAACAGACATTTTTATTACTGGTATTGAAGAAAAAATGTTCTTTATTTAATATAAAGAACAGAATATGAGAAGGACTGAGACGAATATAAACCAATCTAAATCTGTACGACAGAGAAACGTTGGACATTCTAGTACGAAAAGTCATATAAAGATCACGGAGACTACCATCCATAAATGACAAGAAATACAGACGAAAATTAAACCTACTTGTTACCTGTTTATGCCTTTAATAATATGAACATTTTATTGATTTTAATCAAATTTTATCACTCTTCTAACTGTTGGCCTTTTAGTATTATGGTAAAAGTGATCAATACTTAAAACGAAAGAGATCGTAGATATAAACGACGAGAAGCACCTGGGCATGATGACGTTCTCTGAAAGGTAATTTTCAGTAATATCACGTATAAATAAATATTCTTCCTAAACTCTCTCGAGTAGTACAACTCACCAACTGATCGCGAAATACTGTTTTCCAAGTTCAGTAACTAGGAAGTCCAGTGAGCTGCACTCCAGTTACAGTCTTTTCTTGACTACTGACTTAACTTCACAGCCCCCCTAGAGCTGCTGGCTAATTCTGCGAACGTGATAGAAGAATTCTCCCAGTCAGAAAACGTAAAGAAAACAGACAATGGAGAAAAATTTTATTTGTAACACCCATCATTCAATAAACAGAAATAAGCAACGAGATCAGAACCTAACGTGACATATAGATTAGCTCGTGTAGTCGTTCTTTTTTAGTAATCAGTGTAGCTGTAGGATATGCATAATATCAAAACTTATTTAGAACTGATAAAGAAGCTATTAAATTGGATCGATAAGTATACTGGTAGAACGAACACAACTCTGTCTAATTGGACACTGGGTAGAATAGTTAGAAGTAGGTAAATCGACTAAGAGCTGTCACATACCCAGGGATTTCGCGTAAACAACAGGACTGGAAGCATAGTCGAACGTGCTTCAATATGTGTAACGATAATCCGTTCTATTTGTCGCACGCCAGTTCTCTATTGACTTCTTGACCAAAATTCAGTACTCAGTACTAACAGGTGAATTATTCTAAAAAAATTTCTCCATTGATGTAGATGACTGGTACTACTACGTATCACCTTGTATACATGCTAAGAGAATCAAAAGGTTCTAAACAACAACAAAGAAACTCTGACTCCCTATACAATTTTTCGAAGAATGAACACGTATGTACCACGATTCCTTACCCCCTACATTTCTTCCATAAGGAGTTGTTGAAATGCTACCCAGGGAAACTACAACCCATTCTCTGTTGACTGGATGTCTGTCTGTGATAACTCTTACCCGATATTTTCAAAGTTGATAACTACATTGGATTTATGATAAAAAACTATTACACCTTGTTATACCACTCACTTTCACTTATGATGTGCTAAATAGTACTATATATCAGCTTTTCATATATATGGCGAGAATGCTCTCTATTTCAGACTCAGACGTTAGTGTGCGAAGAGGACAATGACGCTACCAAGCAACGTTTCATATTGTGTGCCGTAACTGTGCTACGAACTTCGAAACTCACTTCTATGACCTTGAAATGACGACTGAAACCGTCAGTATCAAAGAGCTGACTATCCCACAGCTTCAAGATCTTGCACGTCAATTTGAGCAAAAAGTACAGTTTATCTCAGCCTCTATACAGCAATTGAAGTCTCTTCAAGCCCAGTTTGTTGCTTCAAAAAATTGTCTAGGCGATCTTACCCCAGAAAAAGAAAGCAGAGATATTCTTGTCCCTTTGACTTCAACTTTATGTGTTCCTGGCAGACTTTCTGATGCTTCGCATGTGCTTGTTGATATCGGCACAGGATATTATGTTCAGATGGTTTGCCTAATTTCTGTTTATCTTATTCCTTTACGTTTTCAGACCGTCCAAGAAGCCGAAAATCACTTTAGCCGTCGAGTTGAATATATAAATAAACAAATCAAGAAGATTTTACCGCTTTTAGAGGAGAAGACGCAGGCGCATAAGTCGATTTCGGACGTCCTGGATGCTAAAATCCAAGAGTTCATTAAGGTTCGGTCGGCAACGTGTTCTTGAAGCTTCAAAATTACATGCTGCTGAAGCTCCTCATAAAAAGATGCATTTGCCATATTAACTAATTGTTTTCACAATGAGTGATAATGAGAGAGTATCTTTTATATTTTTCCAAGACAACGATACTAACTGTGGTCATCTGTTGGCGTTGTTAGCGTTGAATTTTTCTGAAATCATTTATTCGGCACAGTTTCGTAAATTACTATGTTTGATTTTCAGTGACACATGAGGTTTTATATTAATTTGCAAGGGTCTTGTCGGATTAACAGTTTTTGCTTCATAATTTACTAGTGATACATTGCTATTAGATCAGCTATAATATTCCGCTATCTCAGATGATGCAGATTGGCATGATACCCATTATGCTGTGGAAACAGCAGTGATATTTGCCAGTCAGGCAGACCATAAGGTTTAGCAGTAACAACGTATCTTAGTAACATTTAATGGACTGATAGGCACTTCACAAATCACCCCCTTGTCTCTGAATATGATGAGGAACAGAGTCAGCTTAAGAACAGGCTGCAATGACCACGAACTGTGGTGATCAGCGCAAGCAAAAGATATGAAAAAGATTGCAGCAGTAGGCAGCGGAAGACAACTATTCAGACTTATCAAGGAAACTCGTATTAGAAATCCGAGTTCATAAGAATATCTCGATAAAAGATGGGGCTGCTTTCTCGATTCAGGAAATCAGATCCCTGAACAGAATACTGTAGGGATTACTCCAACTGGGTTAGGAATCGTTTTGACGAATACGAGGTCTAAGATATTGGAGTCAACAATACTTCGACACCTAAATAGAGCTCATGAAGGCCGGTTTTTGACCTAGACGTGGCTTTATAAATCAGACATTACGTCAAGTCTTAGAACACACAGACGTTTAGGCGGCGTCTCTGTTGGTCGTGAATATGAAAATGGTACTAGGTAAATATGGCAGATCAATTGGCGAAGTAGTGGAACTTCGTCAGTTGAAGTGGTTGCGAAATGTGTTATATGTGCCTAACCGCCAACTGTCCCGATGAGCGTTGTTTTTCAATGTAAGAGTAGGTTGGAGGATAGGGACGGCCAAAACAAGACGTGGCACAAATCCTTGAGATCACTTACAGCTGGATTGAGTCATGTTGGTAGGTGTCGACTACCCGCGAAAAAGTAGTAATCGATGTTCAGAGATTTTGAATGGTATAATATCTCTCTCCCTTAAATTCATTTCAATGAGTTATACTTGGATAGTTTCTTCAATCACCTAGTCTTTTCCATTACCGCTCATACTTCTACTACATCTATTATTGACAGTTCTATCTCTCTGTGTGGTACGGCAACTTGAACCGATGTACGCGCTTACGAAGTTCTACTTTGCAGCTAACACTGACTGATTTCGGTAATTTTTAACAAAGTTAGTTTTATTTTCTTAACTCACAACAGTGACGTTCATAGTGTCCTTCAGCCCCTGTTATGTCTTCTCGTAAGCTAAAATGACAAATCAACGCACTCCCATACTTTGGTGATAAATTTTTCTTCGTTACTTGTAAATAGTTCCAAGAGATATGCTTAATAGTTCTTATCGGTTGTTCTTAAAATAATTAGGAGCTGGATCACGTTTTTTCAAGTTTATTTCCTGAAATAATGCTGAGTTAACATAACAATTTTATTTTGAATGGTTAAAAATTAACAATAGTTGCTCATCGAGTTCATCTGAAAATGAAATATGACATTTTTCAGCTTATCAAAAATATATATTGATGTTTTAGTGAAAAAATATTTAAACAGTTTATCGGCGCAACTGTGGATTATCTTTTTTATAGGCTGGATTTCATAGCTGTAAATGATTCAAATCATTCATTCATAGTTATTTCACTGGTTCAGTTCCTACTGGCGAACAAAAACCTGTATTTGATCGTCACGTGTGATATTTGGGTGTACGAAAATTTTCCACGATTTTTTGTAAGTAATTGAATGGGTTGTATATGATTTGTTGAAGTCAAGGATAGTGGTTAAAATAAAAGTTTATGCAGAAATTAGTGGCTTGTTCAAGACAATTATGAATTTGAATAACCTAATTGTTTTTTATGTCCGTGGTCTCGGTCTGGATTCAGGCAGTAGAGATTTATCTGGGCACAACACTTAAAACTCCTACAAGAGTGTAAAGTTACCATTATGGATGGAGTTAGGTCTATCGATTTTCGTCAAAAATACTATATGTCATACGAGATCAAAGAATACTAAACAAGCAGTCATCTATCTAGGCGAATCTAACAAATATCAGATCTCATTCAGGTTAAAGATTTTTAAACCACATGCAAAACAGCAAAAAATGCAGTAAATTAAGTGTCCATAGATTTATAGTGGATTCGTTCCTTTAACTCAAAATTCATTAGCTTTTCTCATCTTATTTGGATGCGCTACAGTGACATGTTCAAGCAAGATGTATACAGATAGCTTTAGACAATTGAAATGGAAAATCACTCTTATGACAGCATTAAAAGAGCGTTCCAGAGTGGCGGTTTTGATGAACATTGCAAAGGGTGATTATCCACACATAAAAACATCGAAGTTAGTCTCTGGAAGGAATCATCCCTTCTTTGCACCGACTCGAAGTGGTTTACCTAACGACTAGCATTTCGTATTTAAAATGCTCGAGTTTAGTGGTTTATTGGAAGAAGCTTTAAAGTGTCATTGGTATCAAGCGATTGACACCTACATTGCCTGTTATACCTTCACAAACAAGTAACCCGAAGCCAGTTAAATATGAAGGAGCTCGAAGATAAAGTTGGGAAATGGTCAATCACAGACATGATCTAAGCTTACTAGTTGTCATGATATTTGCGCAGCACAGTGTACCCTTTGGTGATGGGTTGCTGCGTCTAAGGGCGTTATCTACCCCCTGTTTCAGAGAGTCATTACATAATCGTAAAGTAGTCAACTGTTAGGAATAAATTCGTAGATGCATTTTTGCGAAGTAAACAGTCCAAATTGATTGATGATGTTTACAAGCATGTTTGTAAGACGGTAATGTATATAGTTCGATGAGTCAACATTTACTCTTCGTTGAGTATAAGTGTCTAGGATCACGCTTTACAAGTCATTTACATCCTAATAGTTCAGAGGCGAGGCCCTGGATATCTGCCTTTAAGGTTGTTCTGATACATAAGCAGACGAGTGGTAAGTTTTCGTACCAATTGTTGTTTTCCTGTGCTCGAAGAGCGTTCTTTAGTTGGCGGCGAAACCGTTCTAGGCTTGGTGGCAGGCGGTAGTGCGTATGCGCTCTGTACCAAGCAGCCGGGTTAGCGAGGAGAACAATTCGGACTCGAAACGTTGTCCTTGGTCAGTTGTGACGGTCGAGGGACAACCGTACAGCGCTATCCATCGTTCTCCGAAGTGGTGAGCAACTGTCTCCGCCGTAATAGAAGTAATGGGAATAGCTTCTGACCATCTTGTGAAACGATCGATGCACGTGAGTATGTGATCATACTGATGTGATGGCTGCCGTGGTCCTACAATGTCAGTATGAACATGATTGAAGTGAGTATCAGGCGTAGTGAATGTGCCGTTTAGGGCGGCTGTGTCTGTGTATGCGTTACTTTACCCACATACGGACATCTTTGTTAATAGACGGCCAGACGTATCGTGCAGCGATGAGGCTTAATGTGGCTGCGATACCTGGATGAGACAATCCGTGAAGGGCATCGAAGACGAGAGGACGATAAGCAGGTTATGATGTGTCAGGTAAGACCAGTAGAGGTATTACACATTCACCCCATCACTTCTTGTCATATAGAGACCTGGATTTAGCTTGCATCGATTTGTAGCAAATTGAGACTACTTATCGCAAGTTAACCAAGTTAAATCCTGTTAAGGCCAAAAATCAAAAGATGGACTGTGATTGGAGGATTTGATGTATTGATTACTGATCTAGTGATACCGAAAAATTATCAAGACAAGCGATTCGAGAGCAGATGAAACCATCGAGACAACCGAGCAATGTTAGTCACACGTGAGGCTCTTAAGTAATGGTTTTTAGTACAGTTAAACAAAAGGAATAAAATAAAACAATAATTGATACAATAGGGTACAATAAATAATGTTTCCATTTCACCATTAAGTTTTCTTATATTTAAAACCATAATGCTTTCTCTCTATCCTTGTATTCCTTATTCTTAGCTATGTACTTATTTAGAAATCTGTTTTGACTCAACGACTTTCATTTTTGTGACCATTTTTCCCGTTCTATTTGTTGATAAACTGTGGTTAGCACTGAAAACAGCTATCATCTCTTCTATTGTATATTGTAATAACTCTTCATATTATAATAAAAAGAAGCCTTTCCACAAAACCGTTAATCCTCGTGAGTTATTTCTCTAATTGACGTTTGTGAAGAATAGGCATATTTCCTGAGAAAAGGATTATTCACCAGATGATTCGTCGTTTATCTGTTTAAAACGATTGAAAAACTTAGTTATTGTAGTTTGCTCATCGAAATTTGAACTTCTCACATTCACGTCAGAAGCGACAGTTTTCGCCTACTACCTTTGTTGCTCACCTGGTAGGACATTAAAATTTTTTGTTTCCCTTTTAGCATGATATTTTCTAATTCTTACATGATTTTTTTATTGTATAATCTGGGTTTCAACCGAGTACCATTTGTTCACTTATTTCCGGATGCCTATACACCATACATACTCTTGCTGACATGGACTTCTTCAGTTTAGGAGGAGCTCAGTAAAATAGCTTAGGTTATCCTGTTTTGTGCCACTGGTTATACGTTCCGTTAGCTGAAACGAATTTAAACCTTAAATATCGAAGCATATCAGCGATTACAATGTTCGTAAAAAATTGAAATTGTTAAAGTAGAAATATTACTAGGACATTAACTGAAACGTATCCAAATGTGAAGCACGAAATTACGTCTGTCTATCAACCCTACCGTCAAATGATAGTCCCGTAAATAGTATTGTCAATCCTTTACCACTATCTTGATGCCAATATTACATTTGACATTAAGTTTCGGCATCAAGGTGATCTACTTAAATTTGGTCTCGCCACTTCAGATGTTTTTTCGAAGGTCAAACTGCTACTTCGTGAATTGGACCGAAATTGCAATTACAGAATTCAAACCTCCGCTAATTTACCCAGGGTATTCAGTCGTTGAAGCAGAGGTTTTGAGATAATTCCTCAATAATCAACGTTACCCGTTTGAAAGCTGTGCCAAATAAATGAAGATTATCTCCTTACGCATGTGAAAAGCAGAAAATATAAGTAAATTGGTTACAAAGATGAATAAAGTCAACGACAATAATGAAATTTGCTACCCGATCGAGCCAGAAGTATCAGAAAACCTACCTTCAAGGCCTGCACGAATTTGCTGAGCCTACTAGCCTTCTGTTATAGCATAACCTCAAGAGAGAGTACATTTTATATTAATTAGTAGTCAGTCGGTGAAGAACTGAACTGCCCACAACATCAAGGAGTTATCTCTCCTGTATCTGATACTGCTAGAGTAGACTTACTTACGAAGCTTAACCATGATAAATTTCATAAAGCTAGAAGCTGGTCATGATTTATAAGTAAAGGTGGCAGAATAATCGAGTGAACTACACTGACCATTAACATCCTGCATGGTTTCTTTCAGTTTAACTGTTTAACATTTGCAGTCCTTGGTTCCAGATATTAATGGATACCTTTCTAGAAAGCATTCCTTCTGTCGCAAATCATTATGATAAGTGAAATGATTTTTAGCAAACTGGAGAGGATTATAAACACTTAATTATTACTGACTTCCTACGATCCATCTATTCAAATAGTTGTGGCTGCAAACCGTGAAATGATTTCACGGGGATAAAAAAAGTTACCATACCTGCATCGCACACAATAACCATCACAGAATGCAAGTGCAGCCAGACAGAAATTAAGGAACTAGCCCTTCTCTTTGCTATGTGATGTTTCCAAATCTTTTTAAACGGCCCGAAATTTGCAGTGCTAAATGACCATAAGCCTCTGCTTACAATTTTTGGCTGAAAACCTTGAATCCAAGCTCATTCCGCAAATCGTCTCCCAAACTGAGCGTTGTTGCTCGTGATTTATGACTTATACATTCGATACCTTCACAATTACCATTTTGCGCTGTTACTCAGTGCACACCTTGAAGCTGAAGACACAGTTATTGCATCTCAAAAGAGGACCAACCCGAATGTTACGCAATGATGGCCACTTGGGCCTTACTAGTTCCAGCATCAGAGATTTAGACCATCTTGACAGTAAAGAAAGTAGTGGATTACATCATACGTGGTTTCCATCTACCTTCTTTGAGGATAACATGAGGCATCGACAAACAAGAGAACGAAGTGAGATTTATCTGACCAAAAAATTACCACTAAACTATATTTTTATATATATCGCTTGCCAGCAGTCACTGATCATCTAGGGATTCATTATGAAAAGCAAGTAATACAACGTTTAATTAATGGAAATGCTGTTTTGTCACGCCTCACGAACTGTTTTCTAAGCACAACATTACATAAATCATTCTACAACATGACAGTAGGAAAAACGAGAATACATAAGTACATTAAAGATCAGTTGAATGTACCTAATTTTTGAATGAGTATTTCACAGAGATAAAATTCACAAAAGTTTCAACTAAGTTACATGGTATACTTATTTCATATGACACTATACAATGAAACCATTATATTACATCTCATTTCTTATTTTACAGAAAATAGTGATTTTTCGTCTAAATAAAGTTAGAACATAACAAGAAATTCATCTATCAGTTAGTTCCCATCTCATCTTCATTAGACTGATGTAAAAGTTTATGAAATCGGTGATATACTGAAGAACAATCGTGTAACTGAGAAATCAATTGCCTGCGTTTTGAAACATCAACATGTTCCTGATCAGTTAAATGGCGTTTTTGACGTTTTTCAGCATCTGTATCCTTCACGTCCTAGTTTAATAACAAGTACACAAACAAACTAGTGAGTTATACAGTAAAAGAATGGCGATTATATAGAAAAGATAGAATGTGTATGGTAGTGTAATCAAGAACGGGCACTTCATACAGTCTGGGATGTACCTGTACCTCAGAGTTAATGTTCATTTCGAAGCTCGAACTCATGACCGTTTGCTTCAAACACCATCACAATATAAAATTGTTTAGTGACTGACCAAATTTCAGTCAAAATATGAACAACAGAATCATCCAAAAAACTTGAAGTCTAATTAAACAGTGATCATAGGAATTTGACGGAGACTCAACATGAAAGGAACCATCATAGATGAGATATTGTGAAATATTTAGATGAAACACTTTGATAAAAGACCTCTTATGCAACAAAAGTACTATGATTTATCATTAACCTAAAAAACGATAACAAGCTCCCATGCATTATTACAGAAATATTAGGTGAGAATAGTAGTTTTAATATTGTATAACGGTAGGTGCAAAAGCAGTGCTTCTGTGAAGGAACTTGTAAATAAGTTTGTTTGGTTAATTAAGTACAGTGTAGCTATCAAACATCATGAGAACCTTTTTAGAAATACAACATTTATCTCCAGAGAACTGAAATAGATGATGTGTTGTGCAAACGTCGCAAAACACAAGCGAAGTTCAAGTTTACATAATGTTGAGCGAAAAAATTCTTATCCTCACTTACCTTTATCAAACTTGTGTTCAAGTTTGGCGTACAGACTGATTGATTTTCTGTAGTTGTATTGGGCAGATTTGCTTCACTTTTAGAACCATTTATAGTTTTTGGAAGGCCCACAAGTTCTAATCGTAAATTTAATCCATGGGCAACAGTCTCACTAACGTAAATCTTTAATAAAACATGATCGAATATCCGATATTGTTGACATTCGTTAGTTTTGGAGTTGCGGATTTCTAAAACCCCACAATCTGATCGTTCAGATGAGTAAACACGTTCAATCTGAAAACCGAATATCAAAAGAGAAAAGTGTGAGTATAGGAAAAAAGGTATTCTACCATTATTTGCAGAATCAGTATTAGATTAATTCTACCTTAATATTTTGTCTATTGCGACACAATAATAATGTTGAATTTATAACTGTAGAACCTTATGAGGTTATTATAAAAACAATTATTCGCTCTAATTATTCACTTAAAAAAGATTAGTAATAATAGGAAGATATGTCAAACATAATAACAATGACAACGATTCTTTAATAAAATCGATTTTAAGTTACGGAAATACAAAAAGGGAAGATTGCATTTACAATAGGCAAGTTAGATTAAGTTGGTTGTTAAATTACTGGGTTTGAGCTAGGCCAATGTAAAAAAAGAGATTGTATGTACTTATCATGTACCAATAGCTTGCTTTTTAATCCAAGATTAGTAATAAAAACCCAACAAATAATTTAAGAGGATTGATTTATATTGGCACTATGACAGATTCGAACATAATCAGTTGGTATAGAGCTGTTTACTTTCCAGATTACATCTTTACTTGGTCATGTTGTTGTCCGGAAGAACGAATAAATAAATTCCTAGGACATCAGGTACTCTGACTTGTTCCACAAAAGCACCAAAAATGATTCCGATACAGCTAAACATCTAGTCTCGGTATTACTATTGGACGATTGGAAAACACTAGTCGCAATTTAGTGAATCATTTTATTGTCTGAATCTCCCCTGAATAGTAAGAGCATGAACATTGATTTTCTTATTAATGGTTTATACTGCAGTCTTTTTATTTAATCTTTGAATCAATAATTTGATGTGTAATATCTGCTTAATAGTGGTTATTTTTGAAAACTAATCAAAAATATTTTGGCACAGGTTGACTATGAGTATAGCACAAACTGACACTCCAGTTAGAAAATGTTAATTTGACAAACAATTACATGAGAATGTTTATACCTTGAGTTTAAGAAAATCTCCGCTGAAAAGGAGTGATTAAGTCATGTTAGGTGGAAAGACATGTTACATGTATAACGAAGGATAATTAGATGAACGTTTTACTTATATACTAGAAATAACTAAGTACCCAAAGATGATCTAGGTATCAATTTGTAAGCAAACAAGACTCCCACCTACTAGAAAAGAGATTCGCTTTGATAAATAACAACAAATGTAAGTGGTTTTATGTCAAATTAATACAACACTAGAAGATTGTCTAAATAAGGAAAACAGATGATAAAAACATTTCATACCACTATGTTTTGGACGTCTTGTAACCAATGAATGGTACCACAATCTGATGCTGTATAATCAACCCATGCTATGTGACCATTTGCATTTTTAATGCAGACTGCACCTCTGATACCGTATCTGAAAAAGTGACAAAGTAAATAGGGTAATTGATTAAAAAAGTAATTAAGCAATCAGCAATCATACACACACCACATATATATATATATATATATATATATATATATATATAGAGAGAGAGAGAGAGAGAGTTGGTTTTCAAACTAGTAAACGAACTGTTATTATCCATCAACAAAATTCACATATCGATCTACTAAGAACAAGGATATAACAGATTATGCTGGAAATAGGGCATGTAAGATAAGTAAAGCAATACCTACCGGGGAACAAAGGCAATAAACCCATTGGTGCCTCTTAACTGACAGATGATTCCTTCAGTATAACGAGATGGATCATCAATTGGTTTTTCCTTAAAAAACAGAGCTTGAAATAATTCTAAACTAGATCGTTGAACTTGTTGAGCTGCCCAATGTTGCTCATTCATATGATTGCAAATCGAAGATAATTCTTCAGACGAAAATAACCCATCCATTTTATTTTCCAAAACTGCAACCAGTTCAGTATTTTTCAAGGCGAGTTCACTTTGTATTGTTGTCAGTGACCGAAACTCGCCTAATGAGGCAAGTAAAAGACGATGAACCTATAGTCAATCGAATTAAAAACTATATGAAATCACTTAGTATTTATAATAGCATGTATTATGACTCTACCATTTAAATAATAATAACTTTACCACGTATTAATTTCTTTGAATAGTAGGAAGCCAAAGATAAGTGACATACTGCAGTCACGTCTCCATGATGCCAGTACCACTAATAAATAATCTGCGACACTACTCTAGTTGCTTAAAAAAAATAGCCTGGGAAGTGAAAACCGCCCTCTTACTGTTAACAATATTCTACCGAATTTGTTCGCAATTGGATATTTTCTAAACTTCGTAATATTTTTTCGGATTGAACTAGCAGACCTCCTCTTCGAGTTCTGATGTTTTCCATATCACCTGAATGAGCCATGCTGGTAGACGCAGATTATCTGTTTGTAATCAGTAACTGGAGACACTTGATGATAAGACCTGGTGCAAGCCACAGTGAGAGAAATCTGTACAACGTTTATCCTCCTCAGTATTTGGATTTCAGTGTTTACACATTTTACTTCTAGGCTCGACCGATCATTTCAAGATGTAATCTGTAAAGCTTAATCGTTTGCGACTTCAAAGGTAATACTGTTATGTCAATATCTTTGCCACTCCTATGACTGATCTAATCTCGCCCCACCGATATGGTAACTCGGTTTGATGTATAATTGTACCAAGCTCTAAAGCTTTCTAACATCTTTCATAAAATCAAAGTTTACGCTAATAGTATAACTATCAAATGGAATCAACGGATAGTATTTGTAAAAAATTGCAGTACCAGAAACATATCTCTACTGATTATGTCTGTACTAGCGTAAAAGCAACTGTATAACAGTGACGGAAATATTTTATTGAGTAAATAGATACTACTTATGCGACTGAAACAAGTACGATGTAGAAGTAAATCATTACAGAAAATAGAGAGAACCAAGACAAAAAGATTTGTCACTAATCGTCTAAACCTTCAAACTTTAAATGAAATAATGCACAGATATACCTTGGAAATATTTCAACATTGACAAGTGTTGGAAACCTTCTAACAAAGCAAATGATAAACCGCTAAAATATTGCATCACAATTCTGGAGATAAATTAGTTAGCCAATTTACGATATAATAAAACTAATTAAATTGTGTAAATAACCGAGAAACTTACAATTATATCAGCGTAACGTCGTATAGGTGATGTAAAATGTGTATACAGATTAAGGGCTAAACCATAATGGGAAAACTGATCCTGTGTCATATTTGATGAACCAGTAGAGAAGTACAGTGCATTTGTCATTGTACGTGTAACGAGTTGACGAACCACTTTGTTAACCTATACATATATACAACAATCAGAAAGAATAACTCAAATCAATCAATTCGAAAGAGGAAGTGATAGTGCACGAACGTTAGTTTTTTTTCCCGTGTACAGATCTGACAGAGAAATTCACTGTTATTTGGAGGCCAACTGATTTAAGTGAAAGGTTATTAAAACGAGACAACATTTCAATCTATGGAGTTATAATTAGTAAAAACGATACACAAAACTAGAGTATGAAATAGGGTGTAGCATAAATGGAATTCACATTATTGAGGTTATTGAAAGTAAACTTAGAAGACATACCAAAAGTTGCAGTTTATATAAATGTTTATCACGACATTTAGCAGAAATCGGTAACAATTTTCTTCAAATAATCTAAAATGACGCTAAAGAGCATCAATCTATCAACAAAGAACTGGAAACCAGCAATCAATTCAAAAATGATTTTTATATTGTAGCAACTAGGTAATTTTATAACACAATTGAATTAACAAATGTGTTACTTTCTCTGATCAGAATGATATTTTTAAAAAATGAACAACATTTGTGGCACAATCATCTGACAATGAAAAATACACCAAATACAAACGATAATTAATTGTATCAAAATCTAACCTCAGGATCATTAGGATCTGATGCAAATTTTAAAGAATTTGCTAAGGAAAGATTGGAATTTGTGTCTAAAACAAAACCTCGACACGCTATACAACGTTTCAGTTCATCGAAATATTCCGGGCGCGGAGGTGGATGTCGACGCAGGCAAGCGCGATCAGGATAAAACTCTACACACCGGCGAGCAACCCAATGGTTTGCAAAAATCATTAACTCTGCTACTGTGTTGTGCATTTCAAGGGGCTATTTAAAAATATAGAATATAGACAATAATGAAAGTAACCCAGAAACAAAAAAGAAAGTATATTCGGCTTTCGCAATTATTCTCAATAGGACTATCAAAAACTGAAGATTAACATAAAAAAATTTAATATATCCCAGTTTGGAAGCATAAAGTATCAGTTACGTAATTATATACTATTACTACTCTCCGAAACTTATTCTCTAATCTGTAGTAGCCACGATTTTTTCTTTATGCGATACAGATATGTTGAACAACCTAAATCGTATTACTTCGTAACATGATTTCTACAAGAGTAGTTAACTAAACCTACAGGATACAAATATTTTTAGTTTCAGATAAATTCTTGGAATTTGTCTTTTGAATTTTACACGAAATCGACAAACGGTAATGTGACGTAAGATTTCGTAACAAAGTTAAAATACATATTCTAGAGTAATGATTTACAAAAATTAAGATAGAGAAGATCTGAATAATAATGAAGATTATGATAATAGTAGTCAAATATATATCGCACATTAAACCTTATTCTGGATCCATTAAACAATAACAGATTAGCAATTAGTAAAGAGGATCGAAGTATAATTATGTTCAAAACATCTTTCACAGTTAAAATTGATCAGAAAGTTTGTGACAGCTTTAAGGCTAAAATGCATTTTACATTACTAGCTCGATTAAAATAGCTATACTATGGAGCAGAAAAACCATAAAGATTTGAGATTATTGAAGATTAGATGATCTAAGTAAACTAACATATCTAATTTACAGTCTGCATATTTATCATGCAAAAATAAAATATTTGATCTTTGAAGTTCTTATTACTAGTGGATCAGTCTGATCAAGGTAAAATTAATAGAATACTCGTATTTCCAAATATGCATATCAAATGAAATAAAAATAAACGCATAAAGAAGCATCTAAAGTATATGCATTTAAAATAATGTAAGGTTTTCAGTAGAAAAATACCTCTTTCGGTATCAAATCTTCTAGTTTACCAGTACGCGACTCCGGATTAGCAAACCGAACACTAACTTCCACACTTTCAAGTTCTAAACCTCCTTTGGCAAGTCGACGTTCACGAATATTTGAAGCAATATCAACCAGTAGTAAAAGAGATTCACTAAGCTTGTCCAAAGCTGTTAGACATTCATCCTTTGATAAATATTTAAATCAATATGTCATAACTGCGAAATAGCAATAAACTTAGCAAAACTATTCTCACATTTGATGAATTACAATTTTTACAGTTTAATTTTGTTTCATTACCTTTAAATAACTCCTAAACACTCAAATGGAGGCATTAGTGAATAAATAAAAACTCAAATACAGTAACTAAGTCTTAATAAAATCGATTAAGAGGAACAATTTTAGAATCTTTTTGCGTAAAAACAAGTGAAGCCTATTTCATTTTCGATTGTCAAAATCAACGTATTCATTAGATTTACCATATACGTCACAGTTATCTAAAAGGAATTGTGTATTACCACACTACTGTTAGAGTCAAACCTTATGGCGAACTGTCATCAGAATCGATTACTTCAGGTGGCGTTCGTCAAGGTTGTTCACTTTCTCCATTCTTATTCAACTTTCTAACTGATCTTCTTTTAGAGACCACACTTAGATTATCTAACTTCTCAGGAGTTGACCGTCTACTAGGAGACTTGACGGTTTACAATACCGTGATGACATAGTTTCGTTTGATGAAGACTCTAACTATATACAGTCTTCTGACCACCTTAAGTTTCCGCTTTAAACGCTATTCAGTTATTATATTCCTCTATAACTTAATAAAAGATGACATTTTATTATAGGTACACCTCTAAAATAGACTTTTAAAAGTTAAGACAAATTCCTTAGTGAAAAAACAGCTGTAAAATAACTGACAACTGAGGAACACTGAGTGTTTGAACTTACTCAGTAGTAATCATGCATTTTACTTACAAACTGCTCGTCTTTTTCTAAAATGTTATTGAGGTTCAGTGTTTGCAGTAATTTCAAATCAGCATTTAGTCAGATTTTATGCACCTGCCATTCAGGGAAATGTATCAGTACCACGGAATTCAGCGATTTCAGCTGATCATGTGACATTTTGACTTGAGGTTACACACGTCTTGTTAGATACCTACGATTATTTTCAATTTTAATAAACTGGAAAATGGACAGACTTATTTTCCGGTCACTTAGATAATATTTACCTCCACTAGGCCAAATATAATTACGACTGTGGAATCATTTATGTGATTCATCTTCTTTTGCAGTTGGTATTCGGGGCCAATAATATTAAATGTATGATAGTTATTTCCATAACTAAATAAACAATAAATCGTATTATTGTAACCATGAACTGATCAATGTTAGGCCATCAATAGAAACTAGGAGGCAGTGGACGGTCGTTTTGTCCTAGCATGGAATTCATCAGAAGTGTGCATCCACGATCCTGCGAGCGGAAATTGAACCCAAGATCTTCGGTCTTGCGCGCGAACGCTTAAACTCTCAACCACTGAGCTGGCAGATAACAGTGTTAGTGTCTAACCTGAATCAACCCACGATACTGCACAACCGTCATCAGTTCATGGTATCAGTGAACTGCCTTTACTTGACTGCAAATAAATAACTGTAATCCGTTTGTAGGCGTGACTATTATTGATAATTAAGTTATTTGTCGCATTTCCCAATACCATGCGTTATGCACTTTATTTTAAATCAGGTACGAATACTATGAGAAAATTCACAATTAAAAAATATGAGCCTGAGTTAAGTTTTAGTATTGTATTAAATTGCTAGAACGTAATAATTCACAATAAAGTCCATGCAAATGAAAGCAACAACCACATATAACTAAACGGAACAATTACCCGGTTTAAATCTTTTAATTCAGGTATATCATTTTTAACAGCTTCCAATCCACCTAACTTATTAATAAGCTCTTCAACATCGAAGTTGTTCGATGAAATGTTTTTTGCAATGATTGAGTCATGAATACGTTGAGCAAGTTCATATGTTAACTTATAGCTTGAATGGATTACCGTACGGCCATACCATATGTTGGAGATGTCGAATGAATCCATATCGATTTCCCATAATACGCTAACGGCATAGCTGAATGATGGCAGAAAGAAAAAGTTACAAGTCACCAGATTATTTCAAATTGTAAATGCTTATATATATATATATATATATATATATATATATATATATATCAAGGAAAGGAAATAAAAAATGGGACACTCAAAAGTAACTCAAGTTTACACACACCAAATATAATACAAATGAAACAAGGCTTAAGTCGATAACCACGAACAACCGATTGTTTTTTACAAATATTTATTTGTGTTTGATTCACCATAAAGACAACTACATAAATTCTTCCGAATTTAACAAAACACATTCTCGAAAGTTCACTAAACATAGGAATTTTATTTTTTCCGAATAAATAGATGACGAGAAATACTTTTTTAGATCAAGAAGCTTGTTTGAAAAGTTAGCTACTTACATTACACATGATACAACTTAGTTCATGTTAGGCAATATATTTCTCAAACTAACTGTTTTTGTTATAATAGTGACACTATTGCTTTTATGAGCATTAACGATCAGCTATCGGGACGTTCAAGCCACAGGGCTTCATTTAATATATCATTTAATCATACTAACAAAGCTAAACCTGTAGAGGTAGCTAAAGCAACAACTCATGACCTGAAAAAACCAAGGGACTAACACCAACTTATTTTAGTTACTGCCTCATAAAACGCTGATCTTTACTTATTCCATTGTCTTTTCTTGATGTAAAAGCCATCTTGAAAATTCCTGTCTCCCCTTTCTTTCACCATTTGGTTGTAATTTTTGAAGTATCGAATATTAGTGTTAGATTTGTCTATTTTAACGTAGAACTTCGTATGTAGTCAAGATCGTGGAAGAGGACCGAAGTGTAAACGAGGGAGAGGAAACAGAAATAATAAGCAAGATAGATGAAGATATTGATTTGAGGAAACAGCCCGTCAAGGTTAATGTACTTCTTTGGCACTCCTTTCAGCAACAAACACTGCCACTAAAGGTCACGATTAACGGAATCAAATGCCGCCTTAAGGTGAAGAAATACTACTGCTGCTAGACGATGAAATGTCTATCTACGTTCTACGACCTAAATAGGTGTGAATAATTGGTCGATACATTTACGTCTAGGACTGAACCCAGCTTGCCTTTCTCAAATCTGTTCTTCACGAGCTTTAGTTAGCTGCCGACATTTAACTGAAGCTAATTTTTTAGACACTCAATTATTTAGACTGAGTCCTTCTCTGATTGTCGCAAAAGGACTTTTGTCATTTATTATAGACTGGAACAATCAGTGGTTTAGACCAGTCCAGTTCCTAGATTTTACCAAAGATCTCAGTCAATCTAGTTTCTGAGCTGGATCACTATCCTTGAAAATCCTGTCAGGGGCTGCTGCTCTCCTACACCTTAGATTCCACATAGGAAACGAGTACCAGTTAAGGATGACACATCAACAAATAAAGTGGTGAAACCACATCAGCTGAGGTGGTTGGGACATTTATTAGGCATGCCTAACCATCGACCAGTTGTCAGTTTAACTCCAGAAAAGTCAGACGATGAACAAGAATGAAGAATGTGGACGGCCCTGACAAACACCACTCGAGGTAATCAGTATCGCTGATAGTTCGCCTTAAGTTGTCATTCGATCAGCTTTTAAGAAAACTGTAAGACTACTTATAAGCATCTGGAGCTCACCAAAAACAGTCCTCGCAGATTACTTCGAAAAATATTCTGAATCAGACCTGTGTTTTTGTTTAACAGGAGTTGGAAAGAGGATGTGCTTCTATAAAATAAATAGGAAATCAATCGAAACAGTACTCCCCCATATACTGAAGTCGCATCAAAAGCATAAAGAATGGTTTGATAACATCAGCAAGTTGGTTTCTTTATACCAACAAAAATATATTATAATGGCTCTTGCCAAAAGAACATAAAATGCTTACCGGTCGCGTCCGCTCCATAAAGAACATACATCTCCGCTTAACAAACCTGGTAACATATCATACCGTCGATCAGCTAAATAAATACTAGTTGAACGTTTCCGAGCTTCATTATCTATATAACTATTAGGTGGGACAAAATAACTAACATCAGCTATGTGCACTCCCAGTTGCAAACGTTTATGTTCATTTCCATATTCATCTGCAATAGGTGGTAACCATTGAACGGACAAGGCATCATCTACATCTTGACATCCAGGAGGATCAATACTGAAGATAAGTATATTTTCAGAGTTTGGATTTCCTGAAATAGTAGGCGATCGAAGATCTCGACGTTTCTTGACTTCTTCAGGATCAACTTGCCAAGGACGTTGAACGCTCAGTGGTGCTAATTCATTCAGCTATTACAAAATTTAAGAACGAGCATATATATAAATATAATACATAAATAGGTGATAGGTTCAACGAGAATTTTGATTTAGGGTTTGAAAAATGGTAGAATCATCATGTTAACGCCAGAAGGAAAATGTGCGAAACTCACTTCTGTGCTTCCATACTGCTCATGTGAAATCGAAAGAGATTTGTATCCACATACGATGAACAGATATATTTAAACTGCTTTGAGTAATATTTATAATAAGTTTATAAAGCTTAAACTATTAATTAATATAGGAGGTCAGAAACACGACGAGTGAATATGATTCTCAGTAGTGGTGTACAGCTCATTAGTGAAGACTAGGTCGACAGTGAAAATTACTACCTACAACACACGAGAACTTAACATAATATAGATATCAACTCAAGTTTTAACTTAAAAAGTTAAGAAAGTGATTTCAAAAATGGAATGCAGCTACATGGATTTGATTTTATTTAAAATCACCTTAAAAAAATTTGCAAAAAGATCATATTTGAGAGATTTTTAGATGGAACATTTAATGGAGTTTTGAAACCAGCTGGACAATATAGAATATGACAGATATTTTAGTTCAACTGTTGTACAAAATGTTAGGCATATTTACTGGCAACTGAAGACGAGTTATTATTGATTTACAAATATTAAACCAATAATTACTACGATGAAGGAAAACTAACTTAACAATTATTTCTTGATCTATAGCCCAGATACATTATAATGATATGTGGTTTCAAGGAAAACAGAGATATAAAAGATGTTTTATTGATGAGCATAAAAAATAATCAATGAAAAAGATATTGATGAACACTGTTTAACTGTGTAGAGAGAATTCTGAGATAAATGATACAATATAACACTGAATGACTTATTGGAGTAAGGAAAAGAATTTACAACCCAACAACTATCAACTATCAGTCAGTAATACCTACTGGATACATTCTATGTCAACAAGAATATATACGTTAACATAAAACCAACAGCTATCCAAATTATGAGTATTACTTATGTTATGTATATTCAATTGGATATCTTCCGATGTATGCTTTTCATTTTTAAACAGATATTATTCAGAAACAATATACAATGAGATTATTTTGTATTTATTCCATTCATAAATTTCATAAAAAAAGTGGATACAGTAACAAATCTTAATACTAAATAGGAACTTCACAGTGTAGAAATTTAATAATGACAGAATAATTGCATTTATGCGATATTCTAATGAGTAGGAATTTGAATTTCTGAAGTTTTGTGACATTAAGTATGTTACATTAAGATAAATAAATAAATAGTCAAATTAACTTGATACAAGTTTAAATAGAAAAAATGAAGTAAAGCAGAATATTTTTAGTATAAACAAAATCAAAATATATTTAAACGTGTCAATATCAAATTATCATTGGTTGAGGTAATTCCATATGAGATATCCCTGTGTTTGTGTATATAGGATGGTAAAATTTTTATAATTATTCACTTAAAAAAATAGCACTTATTAACTGCAAACAAAAAGGATGAGAGTAGTGAGGGTGACATATGATGTCAATCAACATTGAGTACTAAACATACCTGTGCATCAGTAAAATTTCGTATGGCCAAATTATGTTCAATCAGTATAGTTTGTGTTTCCGTTTCCAAATCACCAATGCAGCCTAGAGTTTGGACAAAATGACCACTTGGATAAGCTGAATGTGAGTCCCATGAATCGATTCGTACTATAAAACTAAAATCGCAAAAAAAAAACAGCCTAAATTAGTAGGTATTTATGCAGGAAACAAGTAAAGAATTCAGAGAAAAAAGCTGTTTGTACAGTTAAATTTATAGTAAAAGGAATTATACTGAAAAAATAAATTCAAGATGACCATTATTATGATTAAACCTACAGTGTCCACATACGAAAATAGGAAAACTGAACTATGAATAATCTAAGGCAATGCACCTTGAGAAACTTATTGCGGAATATAATGACAGGTGTCTTGCGCCTGAGTATGTACGAAAATCTGGCGTTATAAATGTAAGAAAATCGAACTTAAATGTTATTTGACCAGTAGAAGTATCTGTACAGCTGTGAATAAAAAAAGTAGTCTGACAATGTGAACTAAAAGCGAGATAAAGTGAACAGAAAGGACTGATTTGGTCATACTTTCGTTGGTTTTGAAGAGTTTACAAAAACCAACTTAGACCTAACACTTACAGTGTTGAAAGTAATGAAACAAATGTAATTTTCCGATTACTAAAAGTACAGTAAGCACAAATTCAACACATGAAAGTGTTACATATAGTAATTGAGACAACACATACTTTCTGAGTGTGATTTAACTTCAAATAGCAGGCCTACTAAGGTGTGATAACACTTTACAGTTAATTATGAGGTTGCAAGCTAGTAGAAATTGCATATGGATTACTCACCGTTCACGAGTTAACTTGGATATCTGTGTAGTATGTAACCGGATGAGAGGAATGCGACGATCCCACGGAGTAACTGTTATCCAACCACTTTCACTTTTTGGATCTAATGAATTTTCTGTAGATTTGGGAACATATGTACAGACATAGTCCCGCCAATTGCGACTGACAATACCAACAACAAAACCACAAGGTAAACTTCTTGATATTGATTCTGACTTAAAGCAATCCTGATTAGATTTACCTTCAGACATATCTGGTGTATCATTCACAACTTCAGCTGCACCTATTAGAAAGATCAAAACAATAAATTCATGGGCTGTGTAAGAAATGGTAAAATTTGTCACAATTAAACTACCATTTCATGTGGAAATGAAGTGAATCAATAAGAATAATAAAAATTTCGGGTTTTGTTAGAAGAATTCGTACGATAAAATGCAATGGCTGGAGATGTAGGCTGAAATGATGTAAAACCGGTCACTATGATATAATTGTGTTGATTTTTCATTGTTCTCTTAATACTGATTTAAATGTTCACATCAACTCTTCGTCATTCGGTTACATGTATTTCGATTTAATTGCACCTTCAGCGTTTAGATTCGCCTTTACGTTGATGATAACTAAATGATTTTATGTTGACTCAACTTTTACTTATTCATAGTTTGTCCTTCAATATTACTGAGATCTTAATTAGGTTTACTACAATCAAACCTATTTCCTCACGTTTCCATGTGTGTACAATGCCGAAGTGTTTATTTATTTTTTCATCCTCCTACTATTACTACTAATACAACCATTACTACTAAACATATGGTAATGTAATTCTTTGTATCTAATATTTGATTATTATCACTGGAACTGATCTCAATGGATATATTTTTTGCATATGCATATAGACATAACTGTATATTGAACATCCGGATAAACCTGTTTACTCTTCTGATGTATAATAATTATTGTTACCTGATGGAAATCTATTTTTAAATGCTTACGTGTGACGAAAAGAAGAAAAATAAGTGTGATATGCTAAAGGCTTGAAAAAGCGCTAATCAACTTAATTGAGTTGAAAGTACAGATCTGATGTGCTTAAGTTTTTCAAGATTCCTATACTTACGAATGACGTTTATAATATCTGCCCAGCAAGATTAACGTTTGGTATTTGAAGAACATGGTAGATTAATAAGTCACAACTTGAAAATATCAGTCAGTCAGCTCACGACAGATAAATTAATCCAATGGTAAATAATCTATCAGCATCTTAGGAATTAAAATATCATAACGAAGAAAACAGACTGACTTCGTAAATAATATAGGTGATTCTCACCTGACAAAGTGTGTTGTATATACACTATTCTCTTTTTGTTATTTCTCAATTTACCAGAGGCAGGATTTCCCGTTTTCTAATTTTCGATATTGTTTTACGTGATGTATTCTTGGTATTCTAGTGAACTTATTTTGTTTAGTGCTACTTTCGGGTGTAGGGTTAGAAAGAGATTGAAACTCCTTATCGAAATCTGATGAAATCTAATAAACGAAAGTGAATGGTAGGTCGCTAGTTAGGTGACAGTCATGAAAAAGACGCTCCGTCAAGTAGGTGTATAGGTATCAATTTTTTATTTTCCTAACCAAGCCTAATTAACTAATTACGCAAACCGTGTAATAAAATAATAATAACAATCGGTAATGAAAATGATTGAATTACGGAGATTCTGGAAAACTTCAGCAAAATAAATGTATAACTGAAACCAATACTCAGAGAAAAAACCAGGAGTGTCATAAATATTAGCATTACTTCCATTAATGAAAAGCTATTTTAATTAGTGAGCCAACAGAATAAATACGAATGAATTCAAAATATGACGACAAAAAATACAGATTGACTTACAGTTTTCTTGAGCGCTTATATCGGAAGAGACAGTTTTCCAATGAACACGGGGTAGAAGACGTACTACAACCACATCCCCATCAACAGCACGATTACGATGTTGCAGCCCATGAATCATAATCTCACTCCGTGCTGCCAACGCTTCCTTAAGTTCTGGTTGGTGTTTTACTGCACTAGCACTAAAAGTGATTGATAATATTTGAATATCATTAAATGACAAAGCAATAAATATGAAAGTAAGAAACGTCTCAGTTTTGGTCAATAAATATATAGGTTTGCGGATTCAAAGACATTGATCTAAGCCAACACACATCCGATTATTAAAAACCATAAAAGATCGTTTTGGGATTAATAAAATATATAAATCAATCAATCAATCAATCAATTACAACGTAGAACTTCGTCCGTACGTACATACGTACGTCAGTTTAAGTTGCCATACCTCATTAGCACAGAGACGCCACCGTCAGTTCAAATTCCATAATGGTGGAGTTAGTAGGAGAATTACTGGTAACGGAGGATATTAGGGATGGACGGTATTATTCAAGCAGTATAGTTCGGTGAGATAACTTTAGAAAAAGAAAGATAGAGATGAGGAATTCTGAAGGTTTGAATTTGAGAGAACACAAAGAATGAATCCACCTGTGTCATTGCAAACGGTTTTGACCAATGTCGTTTAACGTCTCTAACCACTGGTGACTTTCATCTCGTGTACCCCAACCAGGTAGCCTACATCTACCAACATGACTCAGACCACTTGTTAGTGACTTAACGGACTTGTGCAGTGTTTTGATTTGGCCACCCCTAGCTTTCTTCCAGCCTACTCCGACACCACAAAACATAGCTCGTCGAGGTAGGAGGTGGTTGGGCATACGTAATACATGTCCCAACCACCTCAAATGATGAAGTTTCAATGCTTCATCTATTGATCTGCCATTCTTACCTAATACTCAATTCCCAAGTATAGCATACCTAGTGACGAGTGTAGCCAATGGAGACGGGGATGGGATCACATTGATCCTTCGAAACTTAAATTATTAGCCGAGCAGCAGCTGAACTTATGAAGATGTTGATACATACCAAGCTGCATCGTGATACGACTATGGTGGATCAAGTCAATGTGCCCCCTGCTACACCCAGTCCACCTCACTTCAGCTCAATCCGAGAGCCGATCTAAAGTTACTCAGGCAGATTGGTTCGAACCGCTAACATTAGCAGATGTCCCACCAAGCATATAAGAAGACAACCCGCCCAGAAGTACCCAAGACTGATCCTCATCTCCGTCCCAGAAATATGCCCGACAGCAGTAAACAACAGTCCAGATTCAAATAAACCGTAGTGTGTCGCTTCAAATTCTTCAGAGGGAAGAGTTAAAATAATCAACAAATATCCTACGAAGAATCATTTTGTAAGTGTAAATTATATTGGTCGGTTCCTAGTGGTCAATATTACGGTCGTCCTAGCTATCAATGTTACGTGCTCCAATGCTGTTTCTTATTGGTCGTCTTGACATCAATGTTACTTCAAATGTTTTTTCCTTTTGGTCGCCTTAACAGTCAGTGTCACAGACTTCGATGCTGTTTCTTATTCGATCTGAATGTATAAATACGCATTATCTGTAGTCTTTGGACCCGGACCCGGATCCTTCTTCCCTTCTGAACTCGGACCTTGTACTTCCTGGATGTTTGTAGAATACATGTTCTACTTCATACCGAGTCTTCTTCTTTTACTCAATGGGGAGTCATGAAAATCGGATTAGATTAGCATGTCGTGTCGCCGGATCCTCGATCCTAGCTTTCGTTTTCCAACTAAGGTAAACTCGTAATAGTTCAAGCATATCAAATTGACATGTTTACGTGCACTCGTAACAATTAGGCAACTGCTGCTGAAAAACGTGAACTTTGGAACCACCCTGGCCCACAGATTAGACCAAAGTGGTGTCATGCTTCAAGTTAATGACGCGTTGGTACTCATCAGTGATCGCATAGTGTCAGTGCTGGGTCTTGTTCAAGGCGGTTGGGCAACCGAGTTCTGATGTCGGAGAATTTGGGTGATTGAAGATTGTATATGAATATGAGGTATTTGAATTGGTCATCAGTAAGGGATCTGAGTTTGAACCGTTCGCACTCACGGTTGACAATGCCAGCATGGGTCACAAAGTCGTCGGACCAGTTTTAAGCAGCGGTAACGAGTATTGAAAAGAAAGTGCTGATTACTAAAATGTTTGCTGAGAGACTGAAGAGTGGCATCAAATGAATGGTCACGTGGGTTCTGCGGTAGGATGAAGTTGCAATACTTGTACAGTCCTGACGGACCAAGTTTTCTAAGGAGAAGACGCACCTTCCAGGGATCATTTCTGTCGGCAAAATTAACTTTGAAAAGATCTTCTTAACGCCTTAACCAAATATCAAATGTAATATTGGCGTCAGGATCATAAAGAAACACTGAAATACTACTGGTCACACAATCGACTGACTGAGGAATTGTCGCTGTAGATGAGACTTGAGAAGAGATGTGCGCCTGAGTAAGTATCCCCATCTTCAGCTGTTGTGCAAACAATTTTTCTAATTTAGCTGGATCCATAATTAGTCACCAACTCGTTTGCCAAATCCCCGTCGCCAAATGTTGCACTCGTCACTAGGTATGCATAAAACTATTACAGGTTCATCTAAGTCGAATAACGAGAACGAGACAATGAACCAGCGTCCAGGTAGGCTACTCTGATCCACTGACCCAAAGATACTAACGACAAGTCTTGATGTAGCGTAGAAAGTGTATTCTACAAACACCCAGCCAGCACACAATGAATCCAAGCAAACAAATCGCGTTTAGTAATACACCAGGACACGTCCTTGTGAGTCAAAAAATAACACAGTAAACAATCACAAACAAGGCTTTTCCGGGTAGGAAATGTGAACTGAAGGTAAGCTGATCAGCCCATGAATATAATCCAAATTGAAGACATTTATCAACCGACTTCTTGGGATCTAACATTTTCAACAAATGCTAACTAGGTTGTCCCAGGATACACGAGCAATGCTTCCGAAGTCACCTATAGTCGAAAACCAACCCACAAATATCTTTTACTCTGACTGTCCATGTTTCAAAGCCATAAAGTGGGACAGTGAAAACTACCGCGTAGTACACTCATCATTTAGTCAGCAAACAAATATCTCGTGTACAACGTAATCTGAATATCCGGTCTATACATTCACGTCCAGGTCGTAAACTAGCCCGGTTTTTTCTAGTCTGCTCTCACAAGCTCTTGTCAGACGTCAGATTGTTACTGACGCCATTTTATACTATGCTAGTTTAACTGATTCTTCTATGATTGTCACAAGAGGACTTCTGTCCCTTTTTATATTGGGATAATCAGTTATTGAGACCAGTTGGATGATAGGATTATGCCTAGGTCCCAAATTACACCTAAAATGTCAGTCAATCTAACTGCTAAAGCTGGCCCACCATCCTTGAAAATCTCAGGCGTTAGCTTGTCAGGCCCTGCTGCTCTACCTCGCTTTAGATTTCCTATAGCTTCTTCAACTTCACCGAGAGTCGGAGGACTTATGTTGATTTGCCATTCAGGATGACTAGGGATCGTGGGTAACCGAAGTATGGCTGAAGGACAGTTGAACTGATCCCTGAAGTGTTTTGCCCATCGATACGATCTCCTGGTTTGAGAATGAATAATAAGACCATTCTTTTCTGAGATAATTTTGCTAACAGATGGGTTTCTAATACCGGTTTCCTTGATAAGGTGGAACAACTGTCTGCTGTTGCCTATAGCCACTGCCTTTTCCATCGCTCTTGCTTTTGCTACCCACCACCGTTCGAGATCATTGCGTAGGCATTTTATCAGCCTGCGCTCAAGCTGATTTCGCTCTTCATCATGTTCAGAGCCAGGTGGGATAAGTGGGATGAGCGTCTATTTGTTCGGTGGATGCTACTGAGATCCATGGGCTTATCCCAAACCTTATGGTTTACCTTACTAGCAGATATAACTGCTGTTTCCACAGCCTTTTCGAGGTGGATGTCTCTACCAGCTGCCCATAACGTGGAAGGGTGTTTATTAAAGAACCTGAAAAAGAAGGCAGATTAGTGTTGGTCTGAACGACCTGGGGGCGTGACCGCAGTGCCCAAAGGACAACCATTCGAAGCCTGTCACGCACGGCCTTTTTATGAGAAGTTGGCGAAGTGTTAGCTCCATTCTTTTTAAAAGCCCCTACCGCCAGAGACGGGAATCTGTGAGGTAGGGTGAGGTGCTACAATTTCAAGGTCGACCTTTTCTAACCCTTCCTTCCCTGTGAAAAGGCAGCATCGCTGCAGTTGCTGGTCGTCCGAGGGAAACACCTTACTGCTGTCACACCCCTCTGCAGTCAGCAGTACGACTTCGCCCTCAGACCTTCAGTAGCTGCTTTTAGCCTCATCGTTCTCCAATCGACCTGCCTGGCATGGTAGAACCTTCAGGAATATAAGTTCCAGCCGATATAGCTCGGTTGGGTCATCACGATAGGCAAGCCCGACCACCACGTCAAGGTGACAGCTACGGTCGGGGTCAAAAAATGTAAGAACATTTGAAATAAGGGACAACGTAGTAGAGTGGAGTTCAACATGTTGTTTGCTAGTTATTGCTTCAACAGAGCTTTTAGAAGACTAGAGGTTCGATTATTCATGTGCTATACTGAAAGACTTCAATGTACATACTCAAGGTTTTATTTCAAGAAAATGTCTTGCAATCTGCTTGAACCTAAAATGTTTAGAATAGGTTATTTGAATCGACCCATGTAATTGAAGTAAGAGTTGAAGACACTATTTATTACAAATAAATGAACCGAAATGACCATATTCCCTAACGTGATGTGTGTTTTAACCCCCAATGGTAATATAAATTACTATTATTCGGTGTGAACTAGGAGAAGTCAGACAGTGAAATTCAGACCAAAATTTCTATTTACTTGGCATAAAACTGTACATGAGTATGAGGAAAAGGAATCAACAGCTCGGTAAATTGTACTGTGTATCCTTTTTCTGACAGACTAGTTGACTGTGTTGAGATAAATAAAAACCATGTGCATTAGTGATGATTTAGGTGTTGATGAATAAAGGCTAAATTAGTACCTTCATATAAAATGCTTTTACTGAGGTTATAAATATATTGTAATCTGATACTAAATAGCAAAATGCTTGTCTCAATTTATAACCCGGAATCAACCAAGTATATAAAAATTTGAGTGCATACGTCACCGTAACAGCATACACAGAATTTAGAGTGGTTAGAAAACTTGTACATGTACCTATATATTACAGATACTGAAATGCTATTGCAGCACAAAGAAATCGTGTGAACTACACGAGGATCCATGATGACTGTAGTTGGATTAATACTAAATGTCTCAAGATGGCGAGACAGGTTACAGATTCAAAACTCCGTAAGTGAATGATCTCAAGTAATGCTCACTAGGAACTTCAGTGACGATAACAATTTGCTAAGACCAACACACTAAGCTAGTCTTTAATCAGGTTTTTCAGGAAAAATCCTTCCATGGTATGGGAAATTGAGGAGCAACAACTGTCCTCATACATGATTTGGAATGCTATCAGTCTGTGTTGTGTCCACTCAATTCCTATTTGTGACTAATTGCAGTATTCCCTGAAATTTTTACTGCCTTTCTACATGTAACTAATTAGTGTACTATGATGTTGTATTCTACGTCGCCAGATTCTCAGTGATGCCAGAAGCATTCTCAGTCGTGGAAGAAAAACTTATCTGAAATATTTTGTTTTTCTATTACTCAAGATCTGTTTAGAATCTGAAATTTTTGAGGACGTACATCAAAAATATAAATAGCTTTAGGCTTACTCTGTTAAAGCTACCATAGCCTCAGTAGTTGACCGAAAACGCGATACGTGAAGAATACCCTTCAGAAATTGACCAGATCGTAAACCAGCAACCAAAGCCGACTCAGGTAAATGCTCTGGATATACATGACCAAGAGAAGGAACTGAAAAGAAAATATGTGTATACTTATAAACGAGGATTCCAAATTTGATTTTTGCTCGCTGAATACCGGATATGATATCATATCCGATATCGGATATGATATTTTTACGATTGACATGTTGCTATAGTGAGTGATATATAACTAGGAAAAGAACTATCTAAACACTTTCGTATCGGGAAAACAAAACATAAACGGTATGTATTGCCATTTTTTTAGTTTCATCCAAGACTAACTGAAAGTGAACTTTTTTTTCATAAGTAAACGATGGAAAACCTAGAAATATCTATGACACAATTTTGCCGATAGAGATGAGTGACTCAAGATTGTACTCAAACATCTGTTTGATTTACTCTCAAGCATAAAGAGAAAATTAGATCTCCCAGATTTTTGCTGGAAGGCTTCAAGTCTGCGCGACCTTGAGTATCCTGATTAGTCCTACTGTTGTGTTCGAAAATAAGATGAAAACCAAGCCCGAACTGACCTGAAGGCATCGTGTATGAGTCCAAGGACTCTAAAGGATTTTCTGATTTGGAAATTTCTGGCGAATGGTGGTCTTTAGATTTAGTGGAACGAAGTGATACATCCAAGGAATCAAACAAAAGCTTTGCAGTTGTGAGTGTGGGGTAGTACATTTGCAAAAACCCTGGTAAATCCAAGACCTGCAAAGAATACATTTATAAAATTAAATTAATGGTCAGTCGGAATAAATGCATCCGAGTACTTGATGACTGAAGGTAGAGTTACTTAGAAATTAAGGTGATGTCTGAAGGAGGTACTGTAAAAGTAAGAAAAGTAAGAAAAAAAATCAAACATGTTTTTAAAAACAAGGATCAGAGCAGTGGATGGAAATTGCATTTTTCTCCTGTAACTATGCAGTTCTTCAGCACTCCGGAACAGTATGAGTTGGACAGTGACATGGACTCAATGATTTCGGTCGACAACAACAAAAATGATGGTTTTCTAGTGCAGCGTGTACGAGGACAAATCTATTGACAACAATGATACTACATACAAAAGCTCTAATAGCTTCATTTCTTCACAGATACTTCAAAACATATATTGCTTTACAATTTATTGATCAAAATCAATGAACGTCGACTATACACTGAATCTTATTCAGTCACACAACGATTAACTGATTATTAATTACGGAAACTAATTAATTGAGTCATTATTATTGAATACAAAATCCTAGTATGCTAACCGTTACACGAAAAAGGTATAAAGAATGTAAGAACTAAATGCAACTAAAATACACTAAAAGTTAACGAATAGAATTCATGATTTTCTTCATCATGTGTTATATTTGGGAATACACTAAATCCTACTGACGAGTTAAACGTAAATCAGTCTTGTTTTGGCTACCATCACGTTATATCACAGCATAGAGTGCTGTCTACGAGTCATACACAAATAAGATAGTATTTTTGAATTTGGAATAAAAAAGACAATAAGTTCATAAATTCCAATGATCACTTAGTCAGTCAGCTACAATGTAGAACTTAGTACGTACGTACTTCAGTTCAAGTTGCCATACCATATTAGCACACAGAGATCGAATGGTTAATTCAAAACCCATAGTGGTAAAGGTAGTAGAAGTATGAGCGGTAATCAAGAAGATTCGAGATCGAATATATAATTCAAGAACTACATTAGAGTGAATTAAATTTAAGACGAGAAAGTGGTCACGAGGAATTAGGAAGATTAGAATTCGAGAAAAGACAAAGAAGGGATGCATCTGCACCACTGCAAACGATTTTGAGCCATATCATTCAAAATTTCTGACTATCGGTAAGTATACGCTTTCGTACCCCATCCAGGTAGTCTAAACATAATGATATATTTTAGTCCAGAAAAGTCAGACGAAGAAAAGATCGACTCTAAAAGCGTGTCAAAATTAGAGTCGAATAGGAATAAAGAATGTGGACAACCCTGATAAACACCGCTCGAGGAAATCAATCCTGTGTTTTCGTTTAATAGGAGTTGGAAAGAGAATACGCTTCTATAAAATAAATAGGAAATCGATTGAAACAGTACTTCATCATATACTGAAATCGTATTAAAAGCATAAAGAGTGATTTGATAAAACCAAGATCTCTGACTATCAGTTAATATCCTCTTTCGGACCACAGCCTGGTAGTCGACACCTACCACCATGACTTAATCCAGTTGTCAGTGACTTCATGGATTTAAGCCATGTTTTGTTTTGGCTGCCCTTAGGTTTCTTCCAACCTACCCCTACATCAACTCCACCTGTAGACCCTCCGAAGCTACTGCCAGTTCCAAGCCCGGATAAAGGAGGGATGGGGTTGGCGACCACATCCCGCAAAAACCCAACTTGCAAAAGAAACGCTAACAAGAAAAAATAGTTCAAACCATTTAAACTCCGACCTGGGAGTTAGGTCTTCATTTAGAAGAGTTATAACGTTTCATGGTGAAAGCCATGTACCTTTCGGAAGTCAGAACCAGAACAGTAACACGGGGTGGGCGTCCGGGAAGCAACATCCGCCCTCATCCCCATAAAAGCACACGAGACCTAATTGGTCACAATCGGATCCTTTCTAAACCTCCTAATAACTCTCGAATCTCCAAAACCAACCTTTCTTTCTATCGTTCGTCATTTGCGCCGCTGAAGCAACGGTTTGAGCTCACGAAACATTTTTCCCGGTTTCCTGAAACCCCGTACTAAATTACATACTGGAGCTTTTGATGTTTGAACCATATTCCAAATAGGGCAACAGGCTTCATTAGTTAGAAATCTGGAATCCCGTGCGGTCGATGTATGTAGCGTCTCCGAAACGCGCATACAAAATCCAAGTAAAATCATCAATTTGATTTCACCTCGTGCAGATAGAGACACAACATGGTTTACGCTTCGTATTTCTGGAAGCCTTGATGCTGACTCCCGTGGCCTCGCCAGCGTATGTATAGTATCAAATCGTCGGACAGAACAAGCTCTCTTAGACTGGATCCCGGTAGACAGTCGCTTGTGAGCTGTCCGACTAAGCGGGATAGTAAGGACTCGGAAAGATAGGGACACTCGCCGTTGACTTTTCGTCGTATCTGCCTACGGTCCCACTGACTGCATTTGAGACGACATGAAAAACAAGTTTTATAGAAACCTCTCTACACTTTTCCAAAATGTTAAGCGCTCTGATATAGTAATAATGGCTGGTGACTGACGCTCAAGTAGGTAGACTAGGTGAAAAGGAAAGATAAATGAGTGGATCTTAAGGTGTCGCGGATAACCAAACAGATAATGGCGACCGTCTGCTGCAGCTATCTTTAGAAAACCGCCTATTTCTAGCAGATAATAACTTAAAACATAGGGATAAACAACTTTTGACATGGGGACCCCCACAGTGATCCCAACGCTAGAACCAACTATATCACATCGCCATAAGCCATCGTTGAAAAGGCTTTATTGAAGACTGCCGCTCATTCCGGAACACTTGTTTAGATTCAGACCATGCTCTAGTGCGAGCGCGTATTTGTTTGCGCCTTATTGGACGTGGAAAAGACAGCGCAAGAAAAACTCTTACAGTTCAAATTCATGACAGCATAGCTAGGAATATCGAAAACAGTTAGAAAAACAATTGGGGGGGCTATGTATATGATTCTTATCCAGTGGCAGCTTGGAATGATATCCAAAGAGCAGTAGAAACAGCAGTTATATCTGCTAGTAAGGTAAACCATAAGGTTTGGGATAAGCCCATGGATCTCAGTAGCATCCACCGAACAAATAGACGCTCATCCCACTCATCCCACCTGGCTCTGAACATGATGAAGAGCGAAATCAGCTTGAGCGCAGGCTGATAAAATGCCTACGCAATGATCTCGAACGGTGGTGGGTAGCAAAAGCAAGAGCGATGGAAAAGGCAGTGGCTATAGGCAACAGCAGACAGTTGTTCCACCTTATCAAGGAAACCGGTATTAGAAACCCATCTGTTAGCAAAATTATCTCAGAAAAGAATGGTCTTATTATTCATTCTCAAACCAGGAGATCGTATCGATGGGCAAAACACTTCAGGGATCAGTTCAACTGTCCTTCAGCCATACTTCGGTTACCCACGATCTCCAGTCATCCTGAATAACAAATCGACATACGTCCTCCGACTCTCGGTGAAGTTGAAGAAGCTATAGGAAATCTAAAGCGAGGTAGAGCAGCAGGGCCTGACAAGCCAACGCCTGAGATTTTTAAGGATGGTGGGCCAGCTTTAGCAGTTAGATTGACTGACATTTTAGGTGTAATTTGGGACCTAGGCATAATCCTATCATCTAACTGGTCTCAATAACTGATTATCCCAATATAAAAAGGGACAGAAGTCCTCTTGTGACAATCATAGAAGAATCAGTTAAACTAGCATAGTATAAAATGGCGTCAGTAACAATCTGACGTCTGACAAGAGCTTGTGAGAGCAGACTAGAAAAAACCGGGCTAGTTTACGACCTGGACGTGAATGTATAGACCGGATATTCAGATTACGTTGTAAATGAGATATTTGTTTGCTGACTGAAGGATGAGTGTACCGCGCAGTAGTTTTCACTGTCCCACTTTATGGCTTTGAAACATAGACAGTCAGAGTAAAAGATATTTGTGGGTTGGTTTTCGACTATAGGTGACTTCGGAAGCATTGCTCGTGTATCCTGGGACAACCGAGGACCCAATGCTGTCGTTAGTAAACGGGTACTAGGTAAAGATGGTAGATAGATTGACGAAGTATTGGGACATGTGTTACGTATGCCTAACTACCGACTGCCTCGTCCAGCTGTTTTTGCGATGTAAGAATAGGTTGAAATCAATAGGTAACTGAACTTTCGCATGACTTCATGACAATTATTTTAAGTTGTAATTGATGACTTACAGTTAATTTACACGATGTAATGTTTAATCCAGACGAATATGAGTGGACATAGCTTTCATTGTCCGTTACGAAGACTAATGAAACGTGACCATTCAAGTGATTTACGTACCAGTTGGCAGCAACCCAATTCATTCTGATTAAAAGGTTAGCGAAAATCCTACTAACCTCGTGGTGTAATCCTTAAGGCTTTCGTCTGCCAAAGGAGGACGAAAACATGAGCGACTAAACTCGTTATCGAATAGTATGCATGTTTGGCTGGCATCTTCAAGGCTTGAACGAATTCTTCGGTAGGGGCGATTGGTTGAGGCCTGTTGCTGGACCTGCAAACATCAAATCACTACAGCATAAAAGCATACAAAATTCACTGATGACAGAGAAACAATAACACCCTTTATGTCCTCCAGTTCAAATAGTTCCCAGTAGTTAAGAGCATAAAATCCATCGATCAAAATATACGTTTTTAGGTCTTTTGGTAAGGAATATCCACCTGAAACAATTAACTATAGCATCAAGCTACCTGTGTGGCACTCTGCCTGAGAACATGATAAACTTCTGCATGGTATATCGTCCCGAAGATAAACTTCCCTTGTCAAACAGACTTCTTTACCTCTGGGAGTCTTATATCTAATTGTCTTTTCAGACTTTTCGCGTAGAACTGAATAACCACCAACCATCGCGATGAAGTAACAGTATACGTTAAGGCAAAGACTTGACAATCACGCGTTGGAAGACTAAGTTCACCGCGCTGATAAAGGTCAAATTGTGGCCCGTACAATTTACATTAACCAAAGTATCCGAAATTTAATATCTTTTCTTCTACCCAGTATACACAAATTGACTTATTTTAGCTCTACCCTGCCAATTGGGTACGGTTCTAAATATTTAGGCGTCGATCGCAGTATAGCCACTCGACTACACTAATTCTAGGCAGATGTCTTCTCTATTAATTGGTTAGAGTGAGTGCGTTTGACTCAAGGCAATAGAGTTTATAGATACCAACAGCTATCACGTTATCTGGCCGGAGATCAGTTGGTTGCAATGTGTAGTATAATAAGGAGGAAATTGTAACTGGTGGTAAAGATAGTGTAAGTGGACCGAAGTGTTAAATGGGGCGTGTAAAGAGAGATAATAAGCGGGATAGATGAAGTTAGTTGTTTATGGAAATAGCAATAACAACTATTCGCACGTCTTGAGATATCCATTAGACACAGCTGGCCCAAACGGCAGATGATGATTCTAAGTGAGTACGTGTTTATCAAGTACCTTCCTAAAGCTATCTGTTGACATGGCTGTATTCGCTTCGGCAGGGAGAGCCATGCAAGTTTCGGCAACTCTTAAGGAGAAAAATCGTATCTTAACACAGGTGTTTGCACTTTGATGTGCGATTTTTTGAGATTTACCTCGAGGTCCGTGGTGATGATACTTCAGCAAGAAATTCATGTTGGAATTATTTAGCGTCCATAATAGGCCGTAAGCCTTTAGTAGACCACCTTTGATTCTCCTCATCTTCAAAGACGATATTAGCGAGTGCTGTGATATATCCTCTTTAGGATTATCATTAAAAACAATCACTTATTTAGTTGTTCGTCTCTGAACTCAGTCCATAAGATCTATGTGTCTTTTGAAGAGATTGAGTGAAGCAACGTTGTAAACCTTAATATGTGAACGTTCGTGTGTATTAAACAGTGTTGAGGATAATTCTGTGATGACCGTACCAAGTTATGGTGTATAAAGTGAACGGTATAGTTAGCCTTGGCTGAGTCCTCAATGTATTTCGATCTCGTGTTCAGGCTTCCCTTGATAGTTAAGACTTTGTAAGTAAAGAAGAGAAACAAAGAAAATAAGTTAGGTAGAATAAGCTAGTGTTCTGAGGAAGGGATAGTGATTAAAAGCACGTTATAAGTTTAGCTGCTGTTCAAAATTGGTATCCTGACTTCGCTGTTACAAAGAAGTCGGAACCTTCCTGTTGACTACAGATGGACCATTCATGTTTTCTTGGGGAGTCAAAATAACTTCTGGATCAACTTTAACACCTGTAAAGCTTAGTCGCTGATGTAGAATCTAATTTAAAGGCTTTGTTTTGGGAAAAACTCTCCATGTACATATTTGTAATATGTTCTTACTGACTCTTTCTGTGCTACATTTTGGTACTCTGTTTAATCCTATTTGTGATGTTAATATTTGCACATTGTTATAGTTTCTATATTTTGTACCTTTATTGGAGTTTCTATGTTTTCTACTGAACTGTAGTATGCTGTTTAAATTGATACTTAATTACAGCGTCAGCCAGATCGGATTTGACACCCTGAGAGGTGAAGCTTGAATCTGGACTGTAGGGGTCCAATGTGGGACCTGTACGGAAGCATTCTTCCAGAATTGGAAACACATTGTGTTAAAGAACAGTGTAATATTGTTGAGGTAACTATATGTACCCTCTAAATAATAATAGAACCGTTTCTTACCCGGATAAATTGTTTTCTTTTTTGGACACTAGAAAAGGCGCTTATCCAATCTTCTAAAACTGTTCCTCCGAATTCATAATCCACTCCAAAACCTTAACATCTGAAACAGAATGGTCAGCTTTTTCTGTTCCCTTGGAGAAGATTAAGAGACCGATACGCAACCGACTGCTGTTACATTTGATTTTACAGCCACTCAGGATGGTAATAGGTTAGCCATAGATAACACCAGGTGAGACAATGGCTCATGTCTGTAGATAATATAGCTGTTTACCCTCAGTTTAGGACAATCGAAGGGGGTATCCAGAGGAATGTAACGAAAGTTTGAACATCACTTCAGCACTCCATATTGAATTTGATACAAGACAACAGATCTGTCTGACTTCAAGCGCCCTTGATGCTTTTAGTCTTGAGGTTTTCAAACTCCTCGAAGCCAATATCAGGTTGGAAAGTGTGTGGTAGGAGTTATCACAGGTACTTAGCCGGTCAACAGCAAGTGGTTTGGAATTTCCCGAGTTAACATTCCAACAACTTCTTGTGGAAGCAATCTTGGGTTAAGGGATCGTGGTCCTGTTGTGAGCCTTCTTCTTCACGAAACTGATGAGGTCTGGTAATTTTTTTCAATCAACCTCATTATAAGACGATGATAAGTTGCTTATAGCCTTTTGATTTTCCAAGCGTGTTTATTAGATGATACGTTGTAGTAATAGTTGAATTAAAGGTCATGTCTGCGGAAATATGTTTACCGGAAAAGTGTACCTGTTACTGATGTGCCTATGAGTACAGGACTTTAGTCAAGAAGTCAACAGACGGTGATTGAAAGTTAGGGGTATAGAAGTAAACAAGTACGAATGGTTCCAACACCATTGCTCCAAAACTCGCATTTTTATCGAGCTATCTAAAGTTGAGATCGAATATGTGCATCAACTTTATTTTGCAGTAAACCATTGCTGTGGTCGGATTAGACCAAAGTAGTAACAGGTAGGAAGGACGCATTGAATGTCTCAGCGTAAAGCAGAGAAGGGTTGTCAAATATCGCATAATAGGGGTTCAAATAAAAGGTTCAAGTAGAAAGATTTTGTTGGAAAAATAAGCGAGCACAAAGTAATTAATTGGTTTAAAACTGCTTGTGAAAAGAACCTAGACATTAGGGAGTCCAGCATTTTCCAAGAGTCTTGGTACACGATTTCTTGTTTTTGAATTAGATTTACCGGAGCAGTGAAGGTGAAATATCTTAGGCGTGTCAAAAGTTTACTGAAGATTGCTATAGCCATGATGAATATAAATATAAGGTCACTTAGTAAATGCACATACCGAATAATTTAAAGCGTTCTTCTTCATTTAGTGATCATTTAAATAGTTACTGGACGTGTTTCGTTAAAACCTGGTCATACTGTTGGGGATGCTAGTTTGGTCGTGGAGTACGATGCAGAAGTAGAAATCATCAATATGCGCATCATCCAGGAACTTAAATTGATTTTTTCATAGCATGACGACACTCTTTCCTAAAAATGTGATGTATTTGCGCTATACATTTCGAACAATCTGGTCAAACGAATTTACTTAACAAGGAATTTTAATATGAAGGTTAATAAAAGGTCAATTAAATAAAAGTTCAAATAGAAATAAGGTGATAATTGTAAATAAAGGAGAGAAAATTAAGGTAATATGAAAAGAATAAGATAGGGTAGTAGAATTGCCACATTATCAAAATCCTTCAAAATAAAAATGGATGCACTGAATTGAAAAGAGGGAGCGTATTGGTTAGGAGAAATCAAGTGCACGAAGATCTCAAACGTATAGATGAGCTGTTTAGTGGAAACATTTGTGCCGCATTGACAGACAAATCCAACTAAATCAATCAAATTTGATCCCAGCATCTATCATTTAAATCGCCACTTTGAACGTCACGGTACAGAGTACGTATTATCCCAAAACTGTATCAGGACCTACAGCAAATGTTGAGAATCACCAGTTCACCAACATAACCTCATTTGTATCTAGGGTGGTGAAGAAGTTAGTGAAGGTGATCTTACTTAGCTGTTTACTGAATTACAATCTCATATCGGCCTCACTGCACGAAGTCTTGAGATTCAGGTCATGCGATACATGCTTGCTAGGTTATCTTACTGATATCACTCAAAAGAGAGACAACGGGCTTCTAGTGTCAGTCCTCTTGTTCGACTTTAAGAAAGCTTTTGATAAACGGTTACATTAAAGGCTACTCGTCAAACTAAAGTCATTCGGAATCAGTTACTTACAATATGCGTGGTTGGCTTCATTCCTAAATAAACGCTAACAAATGATACAGTGCAACGGTTTCTCTTATCATCAAGGAAGTGTTTCAGGTCAACCTCTGTTTCTTGACTGCGTATAAGATTTATGAGAAGAATGAAAGAAGTAAAAAATTAATATTTAGGAGACGTAAACGTTGACAACTTTTAGGTTATTATTATTTTATTGTTCATTCATGAATTCAGCCCATTTAGGTGTTTAGGAAATCTTTTATGTTCTCTATTTGAGTAACGTCAAACCACAGTACAAATGACAACACCGGACGTTAGACTCCCACCGTTCAAAAATAAGAAGACGGAAGACGTTGGAGAACACATTACCAGAATCAAACATATACAATCAAACATTCGTATTAACAATTATATAAATAATCGATACTGTCGTTAAAATATTTGAACATTAATCAAATAGTTCATCAGTCGACTGCCCTTGAAATATTTAAACATTTAATCGATAAGTTCATCAATCGACTATGTGCGTGGGTGGCTTCTCGATGGCTATCCCAACAGGTACGTCATCAAAACTAAAAAATGTACCTAAAGTCGAAAAATCCAACTGCGCCTACATTTACTCGGAATAAGTGTCGTTTTTGGTTCGGTTTTTGTCATCTCTCTCGCCTGTCATCTCTGTTTTCCTTCCTTTGCCCCTCTAGCACTATTTTCCCAACGAAACAACTAAATTAAATTTACATTTATCGACTTAGTTCTGGAATCTTCTAATTGGCATCAGAATTTTCTCCTTATTATTTTCCACATTGCAACTAACTGATCTCCGGTCTGGTAATGTGATAACTTCTGGTATCCAGAAACCCTACTTCCCTGAAACACACACAACAAACTGTCAAATGACTAAAATTATACAGTCGACTGACTAGAGCCCCATTCATTGGGCACCACCAAACACCTGGAACTGTACCGAATGAACAATAATCAAGATAAAGAAATCAATTTTCTACTTGCTCTTGAAAAAGATGTTAGATATTACAGAATCCTAGCCATCGAAAACTACCATTTAAGTGAAACCATACCGAAGAAACAAGAATTAGGAGCTATGGAACGAAGAGTTTTACACTAGCTGGTGAGAAGATATTGAACATTGGGAAACGACCTTAAAAATGCTCTTCTATTCAAGTGACAAGGTCGTTTCGGCGATTCGTCTGCAGAATTAAAGCAAGTAGTTCTTATCATAAATTTTGATGTAAGAATGAAAATGCGGAGTCTAAATTAAGAAATTATGTGTTTTGTTACATACTTTGAACAATCTTTCCGCATTTAATTGCCATGATATCCACTTGAGAATATTAAAATGCATTTAAATGAAGATTCATGTAAATATTTAGTCGAAATTTTCATTAAAAAGGAGAGCAAGGTAAACCACTATGAGTAGCCTAGGGAATAGTCGTAGTTCTGTGATGAAAAACACGGCTTGAAAATTTCCAGGGTTATTCAAATTCTTAACAATTTGTCTATGTACAGATAATGAGTATTTGAATATTCAAATCGTCATGCCTTTTAAAATCCTTTTCATCAGTTTTTTAGAACAACCCAACGTTTGCGATATGTTCTGTTTATTTTTCCTCCTTTTCGATTGTTTCGCTATCGGTGAATCAGTCGACATCAGATAAACTTCTAGACTAATCTTAAACAGTAGTTGGAGTTGTTAGGTCACAAAGCTGAGAATCAGTGATAGTCATTACCTTTCCTCTGTTACTGAGTTTTAATATTTCATACTTTTTGTTCCACAAGTTATTATTTACGTTCACCATATTATCTATGCCTAATTCTCTACCACCATCGAAACCGTTACAGTTACTGTTATCAATAGTGTCGCGTTGCCTTGGTAATTTTATCATTTTCTGATATTACATAATGACTTGAACCAGTGCACATGCTAGCTGTTGCGTTGCTTGTGACTGATATGATGTCACTAGTTTCCTACTGTCATCACTTGTTAATATAGCAAGGATACCATGATACAATACTAAAAATTTCTTTACATGTTACAAAGTAATGTGAATAAATCAACAATGACAAGCACTTCTATGTGCATCATGTTGCAGATTGACCACCAAAGTAATGACAAATATGTGTTCTTTAGTGACGTTGCTTAGTCCTCCATCCTGATTCAGAACTAGGAGTCTGTCAAAACTTGAGAACTACTACACACTGCTGATTAGCATTATCTTCTAAAGGATACTAAGAATAGGTAGTCTGTAGATTGCCTCTTCAAATAGATACCGACATACTCGTCCAGTAATCCTTCAGTCGAAAGCCTAGTGTTTCAGCAGAAAGCAAGTCTTCAGATTGTAAAATAATAGTTTCATTCCTAATGGTTTCGTTTTTCTCGCTTTCTGTAACAGAAAGTAGGATAACAGTCATGAATCTAGAGCAAACTACTGCTTACTGCCAACCTTTTTGTTAAATTTCAGAGGGACCTTCTCTAGTTGCAGCTCGTTTAGTAAATATATTCCAGAGGTTTGGTCAACTGGGCAGCCACCAGCACGCGACTCTCGGTATTTTATCCTCGAATCGGAACTAAACTTCATAACAATAGCCCGACCGTAGCTGCTGCCTTGATGTGGTCGCCGGGCTTGCCCATCGTAACTATCCAATCGAGCTACATTGGCGGAAGCATGTTTCTTCAAATTCTACCATGCCTAGCAGGTCGATTGGAGAACAGTAAGACTATAAAAAGCAACCCAAGGTCTGGAGGCGAAGTCGTACTACTGACTGTAGTGGGGTATGACAGTAGTAAAGTGTTTCTCTCGCACAACCAGCATCTGCAGCGATGCTGCCTTTTCACAAAATGGAAGAGGTTAGAAGACGTCGACCATAAAAATTCCGCACCTCACCCTGCCTTAAAGATTTCCGTCTCTGGCGTTAGAGCTACCTAAAGAACGGAGCCAACACTTAACAAACGTCTTATAAATAGGCCGTGCGTGACCGGTCTCAAGCAGTTTTCCCTTGTGTTCTGCGATCACGCTTCCAGGTCGCTCAGACCAACGCTAACCTGATTTCCTTTTCGGGTCCCTCAAGATGTACTCTTTCACAGTATGGGCAGCCGGAAAGTGACATCCGCACTCATGCCCGTAACAACACACGAGACAAAACAGCACAGTGAAAATCTCCCTACACCTCTTAATCGCATTCTTACTCCATAACCAAACCTTCTTCAATTCCTTTGTCACCTCAGGCCGCTAATGCAAACGTTCCAAGTTAACGAAACGTTATTACCAATGTACTGAAGACCCGTACTAAGTGACCTTGTGTTAAATGTGGCAACAGGTTTCATTATCTAGGACTCTGTAATCCCATGCCATCAATGTGTCTTGCGTCTCCGAAACGCGCATATAGGACCCTAATAAAATAATGAATTTTATTTCACTTTGTCTAGATAGAGAATCAACTCTGTTTACGCTTCATGCATCCAAAAGCCCTGCTGCTGTTTCTCGTGGCCTCGTTGGTGTAGGTATAGCATTGAGTCCAAGAGCGAAACTAGCTTTATTAGGCTGGATCCAGGTAGAGTCGCTTGTGCATTGTCTGACTAATTGGGAAAGTAAGGACTCGAAAATTTAGGGACACTAGCCATTGCCTCTTCGTCGTCTCTTCCCGCGCTCTCACTGACTGCAACTCAAATGGGTTAAGAGATGGGTCTTACAGAAAGCTCCCCAACCTCCTTTAAAACGTTAAGCGCTCTGACGTAGTAATAATGGTTGGCAAATTTACTGCTCAAGTAGATAGACGATGCGAAAGGAAACCTGAGTGGGTCCTATGGTTTCGCAACCCCAAAAACAGTTATTGGTGACAGTCTGCTGCAACTAAGCTCAGATAACACTAAATTTAAGAGTAAGGAAAAGCAACCCTTGAGCTAACGACACCCAAAGTCGGCCCAGCTGGTCCTCATTGCTACCAGCCATCGTTGGAGAGGCTCCACACCTCGGTTGCTCACGATCTCTCGTATACCCGAATGTCTAGTAAGTTAAACCATAAGGTTAAGCAGAAACAGCGGATTTCAGTGGCATCTACCGAACTGATGGATGCTCGGAACCTCGTCCCACTTGGCTCTGAACATAACGAAGAGCGAAGTCAGCTTGAGCGCATGCTAATAAAAAGCCTACGCAACGATCGTGAACAGTGGTGGGTAGTGAAAGCAAGAGCGATAAAAAAGGCAGCGATGATAGGTAACAGTAGACAACTGTTCCGCCTTATCAAGGGAACTAGTACTAGTAATCCATCATCTGTTAACGAAACTATCTCAGAAAAGGATGGTCATATGATTCATTTTCAAACCAGGAGATTTGATCGATGGGCAGAACACTTCAAGGATCAACTTAACTGCCATTCAGCCACACTTCGGTTGCCCACGATCTCCAGTCATCCTGAATGGCATATAGATTTAAGTCCTCTAACTCTCTATAAAGTTGAGATGGCTATAGAAAATCTGAAGCGAGGGAGAGCACTGGGTACTGATAGATCGAACCCTGAGATTTTTAAGGATGGCCGTTCAGTTTCAACAGTTAGATTGGCTGACATCTTAGATAGAATCTTGGAACTGGGCGTAATTACATCCAACTGGTCTCAGTCGCTGATTATCTCAAGTTATAAGAAAGGACAAAAGTCCTTTCGTGACGATCACAGGGGAATCAACCTAACTAATATAGTTAGATTGATTGAGATCCTAGGTAGAATCTAGCATCTGAACGTAATCCGATTCGACAGGTCTCAATCACTGATTGTCCCAGTTTTCAAAAGAAGAGAAAAGTCATGTGACAATCACATAGGAATCAGTCTATTATCTATTATCTAAAATATTGACCTCAATAATACTCCGACGCCTAACTGGAGCTTGTAAAGAGCATACTCGAGAAAATCATGCTGGTTTTCGATCTGGACGTCGCTGTGTAGACTAGCTATTCACACTAAGTCGTGTCTTATAACATAGACGCACGTTCACACGTCCGACAATAATGGTATTTCTTGACTTCAAAGCGGCATTTAACTCCATTGATCGTGAGGTTCTGTAACTGTCTGTCACTGAAAGAAGTACTGAAGAAGTACATTAACTTTATACAGACTCTCTACTCGAATACTACTGGTCCAGGGAGAGCTTACGGCGAACTGTCATCGGAATTGATTACTTCAAGTGATACCTGTCACAGCTGTCCATTTCTTCATTCTTATTAGTTTTGTCACTGACGTGCTTTTAGGTACGACACGTGCATCATATGATATTTCAGGAGTCTAACTTTTGCCAGGAGATTCACTCGTTGACCTAGAATATTCCAATGACATAATTCTGCTTTGTTAATGTAGTCTTCTGACTACCATAAGCAACAATGCAAGCATGTTTAGCGTGCGGTTCTCTCCCTCGAAATGCAAAATATTGCTACAAGATTGGGTTGCATCGCACCTGAACTAGTGATAAGGAGTCAAGCAGTTGAACGTGTTGACTTTCAATTATCTCGGGAGTTTTATCGGTAGTGATAGCCTGGTGTCTGACGAAATCTCAGCACGGATACAGAAGGCCCGAATGGCTTTTGCCGACTTGCGTCACTTAAGGTGCAGGCAAGATATCCGTTTGCTAGCCAAAGGACGAGTCTATCACTCATTACTTCTTTCCGTTCTACTATACAGGTGTGAAACATGGCCGGTAAGAGTAGATATTCGTGTGTTACTAATATTCTATCATCGATGGTTAGATACCGTGAATGACATGGCTCAAAAAGGTTTGCAGTAGCGCAGGTGCATCCATTCTTTGGCTTCTCTGAATTGACATGATAGGTTGTGTATTTAACCTTGAGACTAGTAGTGCGTGAGTTCGGTTGTGACTTTATTTCTTAGTCGTATTTTATTTTATCTCACATTACAATTTTATGGATTTGAGTACAGTTCAGTCGGTTTCTAATAATAAAGGAATATTTGTTTGTATTCTGTTCAATTGGTTATCAGAATAATGGAACTAATTTTTATTTACTGATAGATCCAAATTGTGTAGAACAATAATTATATGATATTATTTCATAGATGGAATTGTCCAACGTATCTCTATAATTTAGTATAACTCATGAACTTTCTATATATTTCAATACATAATGTTTGCATGCGACATGAAAAGTTACGTCATACAACTACAGCTACTCATGATTCATAGGTAGGTACGAACCCAGTAAATTTTCTACCATCTTGACTCTATGTCAT